GGAGTCGATCCCATTTGCGTGGTGCGATGCCATTGCCTCCACCACCCGGACGTCCTCCTCCAGTGACTGATGTTGCAGGGGATCGGAAAGCTGCGCCCAATGCTATGGCGCACTCGACTCCATCTACTGATGAGCGGTTGACGACCCTCCGGGCCTATCGCCGTGCAAGGGGGCTTTGCTATCTGTGTGGTGAGAAATGGTCCAGGGATCACAAGTGTGCTACTGCTGTGCAATTGCATGTTGTGCAGGAGCTGTTTGATGTTTTAGGCATTTCTGGATTTGACAGTCAATCAGATCAGTCAGACTCCGCTAGTGAGTGCCATACAATTTCCAGAGCGGCAGTAGATGGTACCGTCGCTCCTCAAACGGTGCGCTTGCAAGGATCCATCCAAAAGCACAAGGTGTTGATGCTCATTGACTCGGGGAGTTCACACAGTTTTGTCAGCTCTACGTTAGCAGCTCGCTTGTCTGGTGTGGTGGCGTCCACTCGTTCCCTTCGGGTGAGTGTGGCTGATGGGGGACAAATGCAATGCACTCATGAACTTTCGGCTTGTCAATGGAAGGTGCAAGGGCATAAGTTCAGATCAACCTTGAAGGTGCTGCCGTTGGGGTGTTATGACATGATTGTTGGTATGAATTGGCTGGAGGCACACAGTCCTATGGATATTCATTGGGGTCAGAAACAGCTGCGGTTTGAGCAGTATTTTGCTGCAGGGGGTTCAGCCAAATACCCAACAGTGTTTTCAGTTGTCCTCGGCTCAGTTGAATCTTTTGATGGCCGACAATGATGTTCATAGAATTATACATGTGTGTGCTGTTGAGTGCGAGCCGGACAGTGCAGTTTTGCCTGAAGAAGTGCAGACACTTTTGAAGCAGTTTGCTCATTTGTTTGAGCCACCTTCTGGATTGCCTCCACAACGAGCAGTCGACCACAGCATTCCTTTGATTCCAGGTGCACAGCCGGTCAAATTCGACCATATCGCTATACCCCAGCTCAAAAGGATGAAACTGAGGCTCAAGTGTCTGAAATGTTGCGGCAAGGGATCATTCAACACAGCTGCAGTCCGTATGCGTCTCTGGTGCTGTTAGTCCAGAAGAAAGATCTCACTTGGCGTTTCTGCATTGACTTCCGACATGTGAATGCCATTACTGTCAAGAACCGCTTTCCTCTCCCTATCATTGAAGAATTGCTGGATGAGTTGGCTGGGTCAGTTTGGTTCACCAGTTTGGATCTGCGGGCGGGATATCATCAAATTCGCATGAAACCGGAGGATGAGCATAAAACAGCCTTCAAGACGCACCATGGCCACTACGAATTTAAAGTGATGTCCAATGGGGTTATAGGTGGACCAGCTACGTTTCAGGGTGCGATGAACATTCTGTTTGCGCCATTACTTCGCAAGGGAGTGTTGGTGTTTATCGATGACATTTTGGTGCATAGTCAGACTCTGCGGAGGCATGTAGAGTTGCTGCAACAAGTATTCCAGCTACTGGCTCAACACAAATTTCACCTCAACCTCTCTAAGTGCAAGTTTGCTCAACAGAAATTGACATATCTTGGGCATGTTATTAGTGTTGATGGTGTATCTACAGATGACAAGAACATTTCGGCCGTCCGAGATTGGCCAACTCCCACCACCGTCAAAGAGGTCAGAGGGTTTCTGGGGCTGGCTGGGTATTATCGGAGGTTTGTGAAAAACTTTGGATTAATTAGCCGTCCACTCACAAATTTGCTCAAGAAGGGTGTCATTTTTGTCTGGAGTCAAGAAGCTGACGCAGCTTTTCATCACTTGAAGTCGTCGTTGATCACAACTCCGGTTCTAGCACTTCCTCGGTTTGATCGGCCGTTTGAGGTGGAGACGGATGCTTCTGACCATGGGATTGGTGCTGTCCTTATGCAAGAGGGGCATCCCATAGCCTTTTTGAGCAAGGTCCTTGGTCCTCGCAACAGTGGACGCTCTGCGTACGAGAAAGAGTTCATGGCAACCTTACTTGCCGTGGACCAGTGGCGGCCGTATTTGCAGACAGGAGAGTTTGTGATTCGCACTGATCAGAGAAGCTTGGCTCACTTGGATGAGCAGCGGTTGCATACCCCGTGGCAGCGCAATACAAAATAATCTATCGCAAAGGGGTCGAGAACCGGGCTGCAGATGCTCTCTCCCGTCGAGATGGAACGCTTTGTGCTATTTCCGTGGCCCTACCAGATTGGTTGGAGGATATCACAAAAGGGTATTCGTCTGACCCTCAAGCTTGCAAACTATTGCAACAACACAGTGGGTCTGCGGATGGCGAGTCGCCTTATACGGTGCAAGATGGGGTCATTCGTTACAAGGGTCGTGTGTGGCTGGGAAGCAATGCAGCGACGCGGACTCAAATTCTCCAGTCACTTCATGCTAGCCCGCTCGGTGGACACTCAGGCATCCATGCTACTTACGAGAAAGCCAAGAAGTTGTTTGCATGGCCGAACATGAAGTCTGACATCACCCAGTTGGTCTCTGCATGTGATGTGTGCAAGCAAGCTAAGCCGGAACACATCAGAACGCCCGGGTTGCTTGAGCCGCTAGCAATACCACCACATCCCTGGCACACGGTGACTATGGACTTTATAGATGGGTTGCCGGCATCTAGGGGATACACTTGCATCATGGTGGTAGTTGACAAACTTACCAGGTATGCTCACTTTGTTCCGCTGATGCATCCCTTCACAGCTATTCAGGTCGCGTCAGCGTACATGGCAAATGTGTACAAGCATCATGGGTTACCATATGCCTTGGTCTCGGATCGTGACAAGATCTTTACAAGCACCCTCTGGCGAGAATTGTTTCGGCTGGCAGGAACTGAACTCCGCATGTCATCTGCTTATCACCCCCAGACGGATGGTACCACGGAACGCGTGAATCAGTGTCTGGAGTCTTATCTCCGCTGTTTTGTTCATGCTTGTCCACATCGCTGGTATCAATGGCTTCATTTGGCTGAATTCTGGTATAATACTGCTTATCACTCTGCACTTGGAGCATCACCCTTTGAAACCTTGTATGGGCACCCTCCCCGGCACTTTGGCATTATGGAAGCAACGGTCGCAGTTTCTTCAGATTTGCACAGCTGGGTGCACGAGAGATCACTCATGTTAGCTCTGCTCAAACAACATCTGGAGCGCGCCCGTCAACATATGAAGGCTCAAGCTGATAAGCATCTATCAGAGAGATCCTTTGTGGTGGGCGATTGGGTGTTTGTCAAACTGCAGCCATATGTCCAGGTCTCCGTGGCGCAACGGGCCAGTCACAAGCTTGCTTTTCGTTACTTTGGTCCTTTTCAGGTCGAGGCTCGGGTGGGCACAGTGGCTTATCGTCTGCTGCTGCCGGCAACGAGCAAGGTGCATCCGGTTTTCCACGTGTCCCTTCTGCGTGGCGCTCTGCCTCCCTCCACCGAAGTGGCGCCGGAGCTGCCAACCCCACCACCGGTGCACGCGATGCCCTTCATACCGGAGCAGGTCTTGGTGCGTCGGATCATCACCAGGGGCACGGCCAAAATTCCGCAAGTTCTGATCAAGTGGGCTGATCAGCCTCGTTCCTTGGCAACGTGGGAAGACTACTTTGAGCTTCGGAGCCGATTTCCTGGAGCAGCGGCTTGGGGGCAAGCCGCGTCTGAAGGGGGGGACAATGTCACATCCTCGGCTACTACCCAAGGCCCACCAGAGGAGCAAGACGGCCTGGCACGGCCCAAAAGGAAGAAGAGGCCCAACCGGCTTTTCGATCCAGAGACCTGGGAAATGTAGGTTAAGTAGCTATGTGTGCGTGGTGAGGAGGCACGGCCGAGTGCTGAATGTAATCTCATCTCCATCCTCTATCTCTCTCTCTCAAAACTACGCCTCCTCTCTGAATCCCTCCTCCTTCCCCAAATACTGCTTGTATCTCCATGGATCTGATGAATTGAGTAGAGAGGGCATAACACACCTCTTCTAGCTAGTGTTTGCGACGTTAGTTTGGACTTTGTGGATGACGCGTGATAAGATCGTGATTGAGTGTGTCTTTCTTAGGAGAGTCTATGACTCAATCTTCAAATTTCTTGCATTTTTGTAGAACTGGCAGCCGCTGTCTAGACAGTGCCACCGTGAGTGGCTTGACCTTATGATGGATGCGATGCATGTGATGCTGCTCGCCGACTTGACTTGCCGCAGGTCCCCTGAGAGTATGGCCACTTGGTACTTCGAGAGCCTGAGTCGGCACATAATCTTGATATTGACGAAGTCATCACGGACATCGGGAATGTCTTTCTCCATTGAACACACATCGCCGAAAGGCCTGAAATAAATCCAGGCAAATGCCACCACCAATGCCAAGTACTCCCTCCGTCTAGGTGTGTAAGTCATCTTACGAAAACCAAATAATCCCAAAACACTTAGGCGCGGTACATTAACTCTCATCTCGTTTCTTGTTTCATGACATATCAACCAATAAGAGATGTGGGTCATGCATACTTTAAATGATTTGAGACTACCAAACACGACATGCATTGGTTAGTTCGTTGCATGCATTGTTATTAATTAGCAAAAACACATTAAGTTCTCTCGTTTTCCCCTTCACCTTGGTCACGGAGCGCAACGTAAGATAACTTACACACCTAGACGGAGGGAGTATTAGACTTTAACTCTGGTCGGTTGGTTCTGCCACAAAAAATCTTACCATCTAAGCTACACTCAGTTCACCCTTGATAGAAGACACCCTTGACTTTAGAACATCAATAGTCGTCAGACGGTACTACTGTACAAGCACTTCACAATTGCACAACGAGACTGCACGGAAAGTTTACAGATACACAACGGTAGTGACGGCACGGTATCGAAGTGCACGCAAAATGGAAATGAGAACAGAACATGGACCGATGGAACGCGAGTGCACTGTCACTCATGCATGAAAATGGCGCCGGGCAGTGCAGCAAGGAGGTTGCATTGACGCGCCTGTACGTAGTACCCTTCCGACTTCCATTCGCTGTGCTGGTGCTTAACCGCACTGGTACTTTTTCTTGCAATCCCGGCCGGTGTACCGCTCTCCGGGCGCCCCGCACCCCTCGACGCAGGCTGGCCTGCTGGGCTCCCGCACGTATTGTGGGCTGATGCTGTGCAGAACGTGGCGACGCACGTCCAGGTCCACCGCCGTCACCACCCCGAGCTCCGGCGCCACGCCGTCCTCCAGCCTCATCGTCGCCGCCTGGTCGACGCTGTAGCCAGCCGCGGACTTCGCGTCGGCGGCAGCGAGCACAAGCGCGAGGATCACAAGCGAGATGCAAGACGCCTTTCTCCCCATGCTAGCTTGGCAAAATCGATCCGTTTGCGCCGGCCAACATCGGAGGAGAGTGCACCCATCTTTATGGATGGAGGTTAATTTGGTGTTGCGCAGCTCTCGTGGCCTCTGCCAGGACCACCCGCCTAATAGTTGTTTATGTTGCTTCAAGTTAATCTCATAATGGTTGCTTCCATGGAAGGTTTGTGTTTTGGTGGTGTCTATTGTTCGGTCTGAGAACCCGATCGATCTAACACCTTTAGTTACAATCAAGCTCTGCTTAGGTTTTCACATAGATCTCTCACCCGCCCTGCATCTACATGCAACCTGCAGACGTGCGAACTATGGGGCTGTTTGGATTGTGACTATGTTTACCTTGCGTTGTCACATTATTTTTTGCCACACTTGTCTAACTTGAGTTGCTTAAATTGTTAGCCACACTTTGCCTTGCCTAAAGGAATCCTGACACACTTTTTGTGTCTCTAACATGTGAGGTTCACTGCTCATAAAAAAAATCTTGCCTTAGGTGTGGCTAGAACCAAACACCAACCTAACTTGGTCAAACTTGCCTAAGATGAGGTGTGACAAAATGTGGCAATATGTGGCTGAAATCAAACAGCCCATACGATGTGAGTTAAGTTATGTGTGGCCAGGATGGTCCATGGATGTTTTGCCCCCACATAAAACCCAACTCTCAAGTGCATGTACGTGACATTGGGCCTTAGTTGTGGAGAGATAAGTGGTGATAATGGGACCAATGCAGGTAGGGGCCGCTAGGGCTATGTGGGGTACCTTCTCGCGTCTACCGCGGCTTTCGGAAGTGCTTCCGTGGGGTTTTCTTTTCTTCTTTTCTTTTTATGTGTTTTTTGTACACGTTTTTCAAATGATTTTTTCTTTTTTTAAAATACATGACAACTTATTTTAATAGATGTTGTACATTTTATAAATACATGATGAACATTTGTTTAAAAAACATAAACGAACAATGCTTTTTAACACATGCAAAAAAAGTTAAGTACACGTTGAAATTTTTCTAGACAAACAATAAAAAATTTAATACATGTGAAACAATTTTTAGATACACATTGAACATTTTTTAATACATGTTAAATATTTTTCATGAATGCCATTCACAATTTTTAACACATACAAAACATTTTTAAGTGTAATAATGTTCTTTTAAATGTCATGTATTTATTTTAAAATGCTACAAAATATTTTTCTTAAACTACATGAACAATAGTTTTACCATGTAGAATTTTTTGGAAATACTAACGCCGTGTGGGTGTTCGCATCTCGCCCACACGCATGGATCAACGTCGCTTTGTGTTTGCACGAATCTTGACATGTTTTGCATGCCACATAGGACTGGGCCGGTGTGTGGGCATTTATCAGGTCGCCCACACGTCTGCTTTACCATGCGGAGGGGCTGGTGTGTGGGCGTTTAGCAATTCACCCACACGTCTATTTTCACGCACGCAGAGAGACTGGTGTGTGGGCGTTTATCAGTTGGCCTACACGCCCTTCTCCCACGCCCGTCATCACCATGCGACTGCCCCATCAAATCTCCACCGCAGCACCCAATGGCCGCCGGCAAAGCTTCGTTGTAGCGCAGCACGACGTCATTGCAGTACAGCGATGAAGCACGTGGCGGCGACGGCGGAAGCTGCAACTCAGCATGGCGGCATGCGGAAAGCTTCGACGCAGCACGCGGTGGCAATGACGGATCTTGTAGCAGAAGCGGCATTGATGCACGTGGTGGTCGGAGGTGTTAACATCGTGCGCGGCCTTGCGCTGCTTACTGGAGAAAATGTGCATCGGAAGGGGGGCATAGGAGAGTGCCGTGCTGAACAGAAACAAGTGGACGAGGGAAGAAGGAAGAAAAAAGGAATGGATGAGCTTTTCTCACGTGGAAGAGTCAAGCAACGGTGGTCCCTCACAGGGACGCGTGTCAAGCATCAGAGGTGGCTTGCGTTGCGCCAAAATCATAGTGATCCCTCACCTACGGAATATTGAGTCGGCATAATATCTTGAGATTAACGATGTCATTTTCCTTTTTTACCAACTCAGCAATGACGGGTGGGCCTAGCAGATTAATAACGTCATGCAATGATGCAAATGTTTAGTATCTACCATCAGTGCTTTTTGTAACTGTCAAGTTTTTGTGCGGTGCAAAATATCACGATTTGTAAAGTGATGGTTTTCACTAATCGTGACACACGGAAGTGGTGGTTCTGTGCATTTAACTCACCTACGGAATACTGAGTCGGCATAATATCTTGAGATTAACGATGTCATCACATGTGCCTTCGCAGTTGACACGAACATCTTCTCCCACTAAACAAGCATTGTTGTAAAACATAAAATAAATATAGAAAAATGCAAACACTAGTGCCAAGTCTAGAACTTGCACCCTGTTGAACGGGTTCCACCACAACGACAACACTAAAAGAAATTGCAAAATGAAAATGGAAATAAAACATGGATCGATGGAACGCGTGTGCATCCAGGGACTGACGACGGGCAGGAAGGAGGAAGCATTCCTAATGTTCCCTCCCATTTATCTGCGACCGACGCACATGTAAATATTGGCGCACGGCCGGCCTTGGAAATTGTACGACTTTCCGGGTGTGCACGCGGGGTTGCAGACTGGCCTGTAGGGATTCAGGCCGTTCGGGCTGATCTTTCTGTCACCGAGGACGCGGCGGTGCACCTCCAAGTCCACCACCGCAAGCTCGGTGGCACGCCGTCTTCCAGCTTCATCGACGCGATATCGCCATCATCTGCGACGCCGCCGCGTCCTCGATGGTGGCCGTTCCGCCGGCGAGCGCGGCCGCCTTCGTGCCCAGGCCAGGGAGCACAACTAGCGCGAGGATTACAAGGGCGATGCAGACCTTGCTGTTCATGCATGGTAGTTAGCTAGCTAACTAATCAATCCGTTGGTGCTGGGCAACTGTGGAGGAGAGTGTTGGGAGTGGCACCGGCTTAGTAGACGGAGGTTTGGTACTGGGCACCTATCGATCTGTCTGTCCGAGCCTTTCAAACGAAAGAGCATTTGTACGTTTGCGCGCATGCAGTAGCAGCTTGATTTGCCCTAGTTCCGTGCATGCACGGGCGTGTAGAAATAATCAATGTTGGCACGCAAACTCGTGAGAGTGAGCCACACAGAAACAGACGATACCACCAGACATGCAACACCAGCTAGCCATCTCGCAATATGGCAACACGTACGTTCAGTAGTCACATGCTGCTTGGAAGAGTCCGCTCGTGCCGCTACGCGTCTGACAAATTGATGCCATTGCCATGTGCTAAACCTTGAAAGTAATTGTTTTTATATAAGTAAATAAAACGCCGAGTATAACACAGACGCGTGTGAACCCAAAGTGAAAAGTGTATTGTCAGTCTCTATCACCAAAATTATAATCCGACTTTGATACAGAAGATGTAAAACTTGATATCTTTTAGCATATAATTATGATAGTGTCTTTATCAATTCATAATGTCGCCTCAAGAAGATAAAACATAACAACTACACATCGAACGATTAGAATAGACACATAACCAACATAGGGAGTATGGCGAGAGCGTCGATGGCAGCAGCGGACATGGAACAGATGGTGGCTGCGGCAGAGCACATGACACGGATGGCATTCGATGAGTAATTCATCATGTTGGTCAGTCGTGGTCTGGACTTGAATTTTATTTTGGCATGTTCGAATTGTTGAACAGTGATTTATTTTGCTTTATTCAATTGTCTAATTATGATAAATTTGTATGATCCACATGCATGGATCTCATGGATTTGAGGGTTTCCATGTTGTCCAGGATATACAAGGAGCCATCTAGTGCTGTCCGGGCTCACGTCCGGGCGCATTCGTGGGCGTTTAGGGGATGGATTTGTCAAATCAGGCGCTATTAATTGCTCTACTTCCCATGTGTGTTGGGGCTGCCCACCGGCGACACACGCCGAGCTGTCTCCTGCCGACACAAATGCCGGACAGAGATAGACGAAGGAGATACCACAATTTTGCCGGCGACGAACGCCATGGCGCACAAACACATGTATCTTGTCTTTATTTCTCACAATGACTCGAACACATACATGGAGGTACACATGCACACACGCAGTACTACACAGAGGAGCTCTCCTGCCGGCCGGGCGCATACCACGGTCCATACGGAGGCTACGTCTTTCTCATCAGTTTCGTTTAGAAAATGTTGCTTCAAGATATATAGCTCTAGCAACGACAGTACTGAAATGCCGAATGGAAATGGAAACAGAACATGGATGGATGGAGCCCCAAGTGCAGCCATGAAAGCACGTACACCGATCGCCGGAAACAGAACATGGATCGATGGATCGCCGGAAAGATGCTGCATTGACGCCCGTCCGTACGCAGTGTCGCTCCGTTCACTTTGGCGGGCAGAAGTTATATGGGTTGCATCCCCGGCCAGTGTACGGATTTCCCATCCCCCCGCACCCACCACTCCTGGTGCAGACTCCCTTGTTGGGATTCAGGGCTCCCGGGCTGACCGGTGCGCCGGCGAGGATGCGGCGGTGCACCTCCAGGTCCACCATCGACGCCACCGCGAGCTCCGGCACCACTCCGTCGTCCAGCTTCATGGACGACGAATGCGACGCCGACATCAGTTGTCGCACCGCCGCACCCGCGTCGATGCGGCCAGTGCCACTGTCGAGCGCCGCCGCCTTCGCGCCCGGGCCAGCGAGCACAGCTAGCACGAGGATTACTAGGAAGATGCACACCTTTCTGTCCATGGTAGCTAGCTAATCGATCCGTTGGTGCTGGGCAACTGTGGAGTCGAGTGTTGCGAGTAGCCAGGAACAGCACCGGCTCTATTGTAGATCCAGGTTTGTTGTTGGGCACCTCTCATGGCCCCCATTTGAATTGGACAATGTCCATGTGTCTGTCTCAGCCTTCAAAATGCAAGAGCTTTTGTACGTCTACGCACATGCAGTAGCAGCTTGATTTTCTCTAGCTCCCATGCATGCACGGGCGTGTAGAAAATAATCGATGTCGGCATGCAAGCTCGAGCTTAGCCCTCGTGACAGTGACTGTTAGACTGTATATATACATAGCCTCTTTATACATATTGTAGCATTGTATTGTACCCTTTGATACCTCTATATAATGAGATAGCCACACCCCGTTTAGGGTGTCGAGCAGTTTCCGAAACCTACGTTTTACATGGTAGCAGTTAAGGGTTCGATGTCTTCCGCTGCACCTGCTACCACGGTCACGCCGGCCCCCGCCACCGCCACCACCGTTGCTACGCCGCCTCCTGCGCCGCCTCCTCCCGTCGCTCTGTCGTCTTCGTACCTTGCCTCCCAGCCCCTAGCTGCGGCCTCAGCTTGGTGGTCCAACCAGCCGCCCTCGGGCTCCCAGATCGGATCGGGAGCCGGCCACGGCACCCTGCCGCCGCCGATGTCTTCTGGCGGCCCGTCGTCCTCGGCCACTACGGTTGCCTCGCCGGCGCCGCCGTCCTTCCAGGGTCAGCCGCCTGCGTATGGCACCGCCCCTGCCCCGACCTATGGCGCCGCTACCTCATCGCCGTACGCCGCCCTGCACCCGTACGGTGTTTCGGGTCCGGCCTATGGCCCCCCCGTGGTATGGTGCCCCTGCATCCACTCAGGGTGCCCTGCCACCACCGCCGTCCGCATGGCCGATGCATCCCTACGGCGTGATGCCCCTGCAGCCCTACGCGGCGCCGACGCGTCCTCAACCCTACGCGGCACCACCACCTTCGCTGCCCTACGGGGCTGCACCTCCTCCGTCACTAGGGGACCCGGTGTCGCCGTTTGCTGGTGCTGTTCCCGGCTATGGCGCGCCTTTGGCGATTGCCCCGCAGCAGGAGACGGATCCATCTATGGGTCTCTACGCGCCACCGACACAGGATCGTGTTGCACCGCCATCGCCGTTCTACTTCTCACATCTCCTTCCGGTGAAGCTCATGCCGGACAATTACCTGTCATGGCGGGCTCAGGTGCTTCCTCTCCTTCGCAGCCGCTACCTAGAGGGGTATGTCGACGGCTCCATCCCGTGCCCGCCGCCGTACCATCCGGCTTATCATGTGTGGGTGGCCTAGGATCAGGCAATCCTCTCCGCCATACAGTCATCGCTGACTCCGAGAGTGTCATCGTTGGTCATCTTTGCCGTGACGTCTAAGGAAGGTTGGTCGGCGCTTCACAGTAGCTTTGCCTCTCAGTCTCAGGCGCGTGCTCACTCTATATGCACCGAGTTGGGGGAGACCAAGCTTGATGGCCTCAGCATCACGGACTACTTCAACAAGATGACTGGTCTCGCCGACACGTTGGCCTCAATCAGCCAGCCGCTTGGTGATGAAGACTTCACCACCCATGTTCTCAATGGCCTGGATGACGACTATGATAACCTCATCGAGAATGTGCATGGTCGCGAGGCTGCACTGCCTCCCCGTGAGCTCTATGCGCGCCTCCTTGGTCGCGAACAGTGTATCAAGGCGCCGAGATTCTCCAGGTTTTGTCTCCGCCAACGCCGCGACTGACGTCAAATCTCAGAAGCCAGTGTCGCTTGATGGGAAAACGGCGGCCTCGCCTCGGTCGGCTCCGCGAGGTGCGGCTCCCTCCATCACTGGCGGTAGCAGGCCAGTTGCTTGTTTTCCCTACTGTGGCGCTCAGCAGGCCTACCAACTGTGTGGCATTGAGCGTCACATTGTCTCCCACTATCTTCGTCGCTTCAAGCAAGACTTTCTGGGCCTGGGCAACAATGGCAAAGGGAATGATAAGCAGGCTACCGCCGCGGTGACGAGTCACGAGCCCGGTTGCACTTCGTCCTACTCCATTGACCCTACGTGGTATATGGACACTGGAGCTACCAACCACCTCACCGGAGAGATGGGCAAGCTCTCTACTCAGGAGCCATATCGTGGTCATGATCAGATGCACACCGCCAGTGGAGCAGGTATGCGCATCTCCCATGTTGGTCATGCCTCTCTTCTTGCACACAATTTTCGCAAACTGCATCTTTCCAATGTCCTTCGAGTTCCCTCTGCTACGCGTAGTTTGTTGTCCATTCCTCAACTTACTCGTGATAATAATGTCCTTACTGAATTTCATCCTTTTCGTTTCTTTATCAAGGATCGGGACACGAGGACCGTTCTGCTTAGCGGTCGTCTTCGCCATGGCATATATGCACTTGACGCGACGCACACATCTCCCATGCAGTTTTCTCCTCAGACGTTCAGTGGTGTTCGTGTGTCGCCTACGCACTAGCATGCACGCCTTGGTCATCCTGCGGCTCCTATAGTTCGCGCCATGTGTTGCATCGTCATGAACTACCAGTTGTGTCCAATAAAACTGCTGAAACTATCTGTGATGCCTGTCAGCAGGGCAAGAGTCATCAGCTTCCGTTTTCAGAGTCTAATTGTGTTGTGAAACATCCTCTTGAGCTTGTGTTTTCTGATGTATGGGGTCATGCCCAGATGTATGTTAGTGGTCACAACTATTATGTCAGTTTTATTGATGCTTATACTCGGTTTACCTGGCTATGTCTTATTAAGCGCAAGTCTGATGTGTTTGATGTTTTCATTCAGTTCAAGAACATGTTGAGCGTCTTCTTA